TCGTTTGTGGTATAAAAATGTTAAAATTTTAAGGTTTTTTTTTTTTTTTTTTTTATTTAGAGAAGGATGACATCATGGCCTTTTTTTCAATTTTAATTTCTGACTTGCACAAGGCAAATGACTTTGTAACTGGCTGAAACTTAAAAAAAGTTATTCATCAATGAATGAAATGAGAGGTAAAGGTAGAAAGATAGACGAGACAGTGGGGAGAGAGAGAGAGGAGAGAGAGAAAGAGAGAGAGAGAAGTATGTACCCCCAATAGGGGTACTACAGGCTTTGATCCACCCTAGCTTCAGCCAGCCCTAGATCACAAGCACACAAACCCAGAGCTTTCCCACATGGGTCAGCCTTGCATGTTGTATTACTGCTGTACCCCACTCTGGTGCCTGAGATTTTTAAGCCTTTCTAGTCTGTTTTGTACTATTTGAATCTATAGGGGATGAGCTTCCAACAACACTTACAGTTTCTTGGTAGGAAGACCTTGGACCCAGGACCCTGAATGTGAGGTTTTGACAAAGGAGTGATTGAAATGATAATGATCTTATCTCAGGCTCATGCACCAATTAAAAAAAATGTTAAAGCACCTCTAGTCTACTTGTCCTGTTTAATGAAAATAGGAAACCGATTCTCAGACAGTGTAAGTGGTTTACTAAAACCACACAGGTATTATGGTGAACTCAAGACTAGAATTAGGGCATAGAGGTTACCACTAGCTCATCTTGTTAACTAACCCTGTGCTTGGTTAAAAAAAAAGTAGAGATGTCTTTCCTCAAATGAGTCCCAGCAGTGTCTGTAAGGCACCTTGTTATGTACCACGTGGGGAGAGCGGACATACTGTTTGATCTGCCTGGTTCCACTTTAACAGGAATTGCCTCTCCCTGCCAGTTCACACGATATTGAGAAACTGCCATGTTTTATTTTCTTAGTTCAGGACTGGGCATCTCATACAAACTGGGCCAAAAGACTCTTTGTGAAGGAATTGTGTGTGCGTGTGTGTGTGTGTGTGTGTGTGTTGTCTGTGTGTGTGCAGAGAAAGAGAGAGAGACCATTCTGTGAGAAATTAGAACTCTAGCAAGTTTTCCATTTTGTGTAGTAAACATATGAGAAAGCTAGTCTGCTGAGAGATAGATGGATAGATACATAGATAGACAGACAGGAAGAATATGAAGCTGACAGCAGAGAAAAAAGATACAAGAAGGCTTAATGGTGTTCAAGTCCCTGGTTTTAGTTCATTGTTGCATTTCTGTCCTGAGATAGTGTAATATGCTTCTTTATCCTTCCAATAAATTAAGCTAGTAGAGTTGGTTGGTTCTGTTCAGTGTAATCCCCATATTCCTAACTAATTCACCATAAAATTATGTCTCTAACTTTGTATACCATCTGTGCTTTCCCAACTTTCAAATGTTTTAATATTTCCAATTTTGTCCTTTGTTTCAAATATCTCATCTCATGTATAAACTATGAAAATCCTTTAGCGCTAACGAATAGTAATTGCAGTAAGAAGCCAAGTTCTGAGTTGGTTAACAAACATGGATTAAACTGCTGCAGGGGAATGTGAGGAATTCTTTTGTTTGAAATAATAGAATGCTGCATAAACTTGTACCCACAGGGATGACAACTAACCAGTAAGTTTTAAGCCATTGAAATAAAAGAATTCTACTTTGGATAAACCAATTTGGGGAAAAGCAAAATGTCTCCATACAGTGAAGAAGAATCATGATTTTTACACATTTTTAGAGTTTGGAGCACTTTAGAAGTCTGATGAAAAACTTTGATAATCTGTTTAGGTTAGTACATATTTGCATGTATTAGGGTGGATGATTTTAGAGAGTTCAAAGGTGCCCTTAGGTCTGAGAAATTGATTGGAAACCATTTAATTTCTTCGGATAATTCAGCACTCTTTCACTGTGAAAGACAAGGGAAAGTGGAAGGTTTGTATGGCCCTAAATTATACTCAAGGAAATGACTAATAAAGTAACTAATGTTCCCTATTCTGGTTTGGCCCGGCTGTGTCAAGATGAAGTTCAAATTCCTTGCTTGGCACTTCAGAACTTTCTTATTCTTGCTTTTCTGTCTTGTTTATCTTCTTTCAGTCCTATATAAACATCCTTTACTCCAGCCACATTAAACCTGAAAGAATGAGGCTGTGTCATGCCTTTATGCCTTTATAATGTTGTCCTCTTTATTGTTTTTTTTTTTTTTTTGGAGAGATTTTCACTATAGGGCGCGTGCGCTCGCCAGACAGACAGAGAGAGACATAGAGACAGAAAGTGAGAAATCACCCCCCAGGGGGGATGGTCACGCCGCAATCCCTTCTCCTCCATTCTCCTCTCGGGATTTTGGGCATACACGCCCACGCGCCTGGCATGAGTTTTAAGCCACCGGGTCTGGGGCACAAACCATGGTTGACTACGTGAGAGTCCAGCGACATAGTCATTACGCTAACTGATGGTTCCCTGTCCTCTTTATTGTAAAAGCCCCAATTGCCACGTTCGCATTGATTGTTTGGGCTCCCACTCCTTCAAACCCCAGCTCATATTCTGCTTCTTTTGAGATGGCTTTTCTGACAGCTCCAGCCTGGGCCAGGGGTGATTCTTTGTAGTCCCTTTGTCCATCATAGCAGTTATCACTGGATACTGAGTTTACCTATTTGCTATTTCCTCTACCAGACACTTGGAGGCTGGGCCTGTGAGCTAGTTATTATTGTCCTCAAGGTCTGCCTCCTGAATTGCACATACTAGTTTCTCAAGATATGGTTACTGAATGAATAAGTGAAGGAAGGAAGAATTTTCTTTGGGACAACAGAAAAGTTGCTACACTAACCATCTACTCCCATTCTCCTTTCTAGAAAGTGGGGCAACAAATATTGTTTATGTAGGAATGTGAAAAGGATCAATTATTACAGAGATGCAATCAAATCCTCAAACAAGAGGCAAAATAAAAGAGCAAAGTATATTTTTTATAATCTTATTCACAACAGATTTAACACTCAAGGAGAAAAGCATTTGCTGTTGTTTCTTACATGGCAAGAGGCTTGCCAAAATGGATACTATTTTCTAAAATATTTCAACGTGTGAATTGCATGAAGAGGCCTCCCGTCATTTTAAGATGAATTATGTTCTAATCCGGGCATTTAAAAAACAACAAGAACAGAAAAACTCAGGCTGTTTTTCAATTCTGTCTACAACTTCTCTTGGCTAAATGCTAGGAATATTAAAGTGGATTTTAACTGCTTGCCAGAATTTTTTTTTTTTTTTAATCAGAGAGCCTATTACATTTTAAAATGTGTCTGGGGAAAAGGTCACCCTCAGTTTCTCGGAAGTTGGACTTAAGATGTTAAAGTAGGTCTCATAACCAGCTTTTATTCTGATGGCATCTGGTGGGCTGGTCAGAAGCTTACAAAGGACACACATACACGTACTGTAAGTCTAATTATGTGAGACAAGGGGCAAGCACATCATCAAGTGGTGTAAGACACTTCTGCATACCAGCTAGGACAAGAACCAAGCCATACTGAAGGAGTTCTTGTGCCTCCTTTCTCAGCCTCAGGAGTGTCTTCAAGTCAAAGATGGATAGACATCACAGGTGAATGCAAACCCAAAACCCAGAGGGGAGGGCTCCTCTCAGAATCGCAGAAGCCCAAGGATCTGTAAGGACCATCCCCAAACTCAATATACCCCAAGTGCATACCATATGTTCAGTTTTGCTTTGAGATATCTCAGGGACGTCAGGTTCCACTGGAGTGGCTGGGGCTTCCTTTTCATTCTCTCCTGAACAAGAAAGAAAATGCGAAGGTTTACTTCGGTTTCTTCATTTAACACACGTGTGCACACTCAGGCAGAGAAAGATTGAGACTCTGTGGTGTGATGGGGACACGGTAATAAATAAGAACACCTTCACTCCTGCCCTGGTGGACCACAGATCAGGGAGACAATATGTTAAGTAACTACTCAAAACAATTATTACACTACAAGTAACCTTAAATATGACAAAAGAAAAAAAGTATTTGAAAATAATAAAGTATTTAAACTTATTTTGGAATGGAGGTAGGAATGAGGTAGCAGGGGATGGCTCTTTGAAACAAGTTACACAAACTGGTGATTCAAAGAATGACTAGGAGTTATGCAACAAAGATGGGATGCTCTGGAAGTTGTGGGGAGTTGAGTCCCAGAAAAGCAGAGACAGCAGCCCATAGAAAGGTCCTGAATCAGAAAGGCCTTTGTAGTTTGGGGAGTGGGAAGTGGCTTCTTCTGTAGCCCTGTTTCTTAATAAGCAGGCACTTTGGGACCAGCAGTTGGCATAATGGCTATGTCACTGGACTCCACATAGTTGACCGTGGTTCGAGTCCCGGACCCAGTGGCTTAAACTCATGCCAGGCATGTATGTGTGCATGCCCAAGATCCTGAGAGGAGAATGGAGGAGAAGGGATCACATTGTGACCATCCGCCTGGGGGGTAATTTCTCACTTTCTGTCTCTCTGTCTCTCTCTGTTTTTCTGGCAAGCGCATGCACCCTATAGCAAAACCTCTTCCCCCCAAAAAGAAGCAGGCACTTTACCCACTTTCTCCACATACACAAGTGTATGCTCAAAGGATTGGGCATAACTTTTTTCTTTCTCGTTCCTTCTATTTTTTCTTTTTTTAAAGAGAGATACTATAGGGTGCATGCACTTGTCAGAGAGACAGAGATACAGAAAGTGAGAAATCACCCTCCAGAATAGATGGCCATGCTGCAATCCCTTCTCCTTTAGTCTCCTCTCAGGATTTTTGGCATGAACATACTCATCCCTGGCATGAGTTTCAAGCCACTGGGTCTGGGACTTGAACCATGGGACTTGACTATGTAGGAGTCAGCGATGTAATCATTACGCCATCTGCTAGTTCCCTTCCTTACTTCTTTTAAGGGTCAGAAGTCCTGTGTGAGAAGAGGCTTTAATTGTATTTCTTCCTTCCTTCCTTTTTTTTTTTTTAAGAATTATTTTAATTTTTCTTATTTATTAGAATATATATTTTAAAAATTGATCATAGAGAGAGAGAGGGAAAAAGTGAGAAAGTAAGCCACCAGATCTGGGACTTGAGCCATGTTCAGCCATGTAAGGATTCCAGTGCCTCAACCACGCCACCCGCCAGTCCCTTGAATAGCATTTCTAACCCAGAGAACTCCACCATTAAGATACTACTCCCTTCAGGCGGCTGCCTTGAGGACTGGAGTGTTCTCTAGGATACAGGAAGAAAAATAAGAAAACTTGCTGACATCTTCTAAGGCTTATTGCAGGTATTACAACACCTTCCATCTGACTTGGTCGGTGACTTATTTATTTTACAAATATGAGGAATGACCACACAGCACAGGTTTCTGAGCACCTCACTTTAATATTCAGTGTACAATTCAAATATGCCATTAGCAAACATATATTATTTCTGAATTGGGTCTCGTTCTTTTCAATAAAAATAATTTGGTCAATAAATTTTAAACTGAAGGTACAGAGAAACAGCGTAGCAGTGGTTGAGGGTATAAATTCTGAAACCACATGCCTTGGGTTTGAATTTTGGTTTCTTTCCTTTGGGCAAGTTGCTTGTCTTTTTTGTGCCTCAGTTTCCTCTTCGGTAAAAAAGGAATAATGATACCTATAAGTTATTGTGAATTACAAATGAATTAAAGAGTGTAAAGTAAGTACATGGAGCATAGCTTAATAAATGGTAACTGGGGTCAGCAGGTGGCATGGTGGCTAAGGGCACTAGACTCCCACATGGCCAACTGTGGTTCAAGTCCCAGACCCGGTAGTTTGCTTTCTCACTTTCTCTCTCTCTCACTCTGTCCCTCTCTGGTCAAATTTAAATAAATAAATAAATAAATAAACAATTCTTAAAAAAAGAAATGGTAACTGATAGTATTAGCTAGGTAAGGATGTTTTTATAAATAAATTCACATATTGGGGCCAGCAGGTGGTGTAGTGGTTAAGTCACTAGACTCCCACATGGCCAAAACAATTCAAGTCCTGGATCCAGTGGCTTAAAAATTATGCCAGTTATGTGTTTGTGCATGACCAAAATCCCAAGAGAAGAATGGAGGAGAAGGGATTATGGCATGACTAGCCCCCTGGAGGGTGATTTCTCACCTTTCCTTGTTTCTGTTTCTGTCTCTGTCTCTCTTTGGTGAGTACACATGCTCTATGGAGAAAAACCTTAAAATATAGATAAATGAATTCACATATCAGATGTAAAAGCCTTTCGTTAGGCAGACTTTAAGCATCGTATCTATGAATCATGTGTCTTCTCCATCAGTGTCTTTCTTTTTCCTTTAGAGAGAGACTTTTGCTACAGGGCACATGCACTCACCAGAGAAAGAGAGAGAGACAGAGAGACAGAAGGCAAGAAATCACCTCCCAGGGAAGATGGCCACACTGCAATCTATTCTCCTACATTACTCTCTTAGAATTTTGGACATGTATGTACATGTACACAATGTGTGTTTTAAGCTGATGGGTCTGGTACTTGAACCGCAGTTAACTACATGGGAGTCCAGAGACGTAACCATTATGTCATCTGCTGGTCCCTTCTGTCAGTTTCTTGATGGAGATGAGAATGTAATTTCATAATGATCTCAGAAGTCTCTCTACCCAGCATTAGAACATACACTTACTGCTTGCTTATTGAATAAATGAATGATCATGTGTCCTAATTTGGAGTTTGGAAAATAAACTCACTGAATATGCATGTATAGTTCTGTTTCTCCAGTTCTTTTTCTGATCCTTGGAGAAGAGATATTTTCCTCTGCATTTTTTTTTATCCTTCCATACCTAGCCTACAGGCTAGATAGGCTAAACCTTAATAAATATGTAATGAAGGTCAAGACGGCAGTCAGTGAAGGCAGCCCCTTCTAGGCTGATCTTATGCAATGTGTTGAAAATTTATTGGTCATGAGAACCTTGTAGCACCTAAGAACACTGATGCCTGTTTATTTACCCTGGTATATGAAAGAAAAGCTTTCTCTTTGCTGCAGGGGACAAAAGGTTAAAATTCCTCTTGGTCATAGAGTTCGACAGTTAAAAGGATTTTTTTTTTTTTTTTAATTTGCTAGAGCATGCATGCACTTACCAGAGACTTAGACAGAGAGAGGGAGAAAGTACTTCTCATCAGGGTGTGGTCACACTGCAATGCCCTTCTCTATTTTTCTCTCCTTTTGGGATTTTGGGCACTCAAAACATGCATATTTTTCAAAACACCAGGTCTGGTATTCAAAGTGGACAATCAGCCTGGTGGGATCCAGCTGCCTTAACCACTAGGTCACAGAATCAGCTCTAAAAGGATTCTTTATATTTTCTTTTTTCTTCTTTCTTTTTTTTTAATTGTTGTATTTAACTTTATTTATTTATTTTTTAATTTGACCAGAGAGAGAGACAGAGTAAGAACAAGAGTGAGAGTGAGAGAGAGAGAGAGTGAGGAAGCAAGTTGCCAGGTCCTGACTTAAACCATAGTCAGCCATATGGGAGTCCAGTGCCTTAAACTATTATACCACCTGCTGGCCCCTCTAAAGGGATTCTTGAAGTGGTAAATGAGATAAGGACACAAAGATAAGCTTTGGTATCATCCAGACCTGAATCTAATCCTGAGTCTTCCCTTTACCAGCTGCAAGGGCTCCAGATTCTAATTCTTTTGTGAAAGTACAATAATTTGCAGTAATATCATGAAGATAAAATATGACCAACACAAAATACGTCAGTTAGGGAGGATGCTCAATACAAGATATTGGTTGTTGTTGTTGTTATTATTATTATTATTATTATATGACCTTAAGTCAAAATAGTTTTCCCAGACAAAAGGACCTAACATTAATTAGGGTGTACCAGGCATTTTCTTGGCACTGTTCAATGCACCATCCTTTTAAAAATAAGATCTAGAACTTAGACTTTGTCCTAGTCCTCCTCTCCACTATCTCATCTAAAATTCCACTAAGAGAAAATATATGCTGGTCTACTTGGACTCTTGTACTTACTCTACAAGAGCGTAAATTTCTCTTTGTCATTCCTAATACCTAATAGCATATAAAAAGGTAATGGTTTGCACATGTAAAACTTGTTTGAAAAACCTGAGACAGAGCTCATTTTTTTTTCTTTCTAACACAGCAGGAAAGATAAATAATAACCATCTGTCTAGTCTGCCAGTTGAAAATTTGTACTGGAGGAAATAAGCCAAGCTGGCTTCTAGAGATTTCCAGGTGTTGGAAGGGCCAGGTTTTACAGGGCTTCCAGTGGATTCTGAGAGTTACACAGCCAGCCCTCCTGTCTATCCCCACTAATAACTTCCAATTGGTGGTCTTCAGTGCTGGCTACACATCAGACTCACCTGGGAGCTATGAAAGTTACCAATGCTCAAGCATCACACAAGACCAATTAAATCAGAAACTTTGGGAGGAGGGAAGGTGAGAACTAAGCTCAGGACGTTAAAAATCTCCCTAGATGATTCTAAAGGGAAACCTGGGTAGAGAACAACTGGTTTAATAAAAGACTTCTGGCCTCATCAGATCTACAAAATGAAGCTTTCGTAAGAAGGAAACTCATATATGTCAAATATCTTTGGCACATAGTGAAAGTTTCAGCTACCTGCTGAAAACAACAAAGGTACAGTTAGATCTATGAGTCTAACTCACTTATTCAGTCAATGAACATTTACTAAGTGCTTACTATATGTGAGGTGTTATCCTAGGCACTATAATATGACAATGAACAAGGTAATCTTTCTTCCAGTGGGGTTCATTCTAGTGGTGAAGGCAAACATAAAGATACATAGAATAATGTTAACTTCTGGTCAGTGCCATAAGTCCAATTATAGCCAGATATGGGAGCGGAGGGGAGAAGAATTAGGTTGTTGGGAAAGTCATGATGTATTTTTCTATGCAAAAATGCATCATGACTTTCCAGACAACTCAATAATAGCAGTAGCAATTTGAGATAGGAAATTCCCCAAAGTCCTTTTTGAAGAAATCAAATTTAAATATATCCCTGAGAAGACAAGAAATAAGAATGAGCCATGAAAATATATAGGGAGAGAACACTGGAGGGAAAAGTACAATAAAGGCAAAGGTCTTAAGCAGGGGAGTGTTTGGTGCCTTCAAGGAACAGCTGGAAGGAGAGCCTAGCTGAGGAAAAATAAAAAGGGAAGAGAAGTGTCCAAAGTCTTCACAGAGTTAAAGGGCCTAATGGGTCATGCCGTATATCTGAAGTTTATTTATTTTTATTTATTAGCTTTCCAGCATTCATTCCTTTGATGGCAGTTCACCCCTTCATTCCCTTTTCTTGGTGATAGCAATCATATTTTGCTTTGTGGGGACTACTTCTCCCTCAATCCAGCCTACAATAGTGGGTTAGATTGACCTTCAGTTTCAACTCCAAGCTTGATCTCTGATTAGATTAATCTCAATCACAATCTTGGTTCAAAGATAGACATAAAACTCTCTGATGTAAGAGAAGGTACTTGTTCCTTCTTGGCTGGGCCTTCCAAAAGTGCTGTGAAGATGTGATGACCATGACTACCACAGCTGTTGTGCTATGGTAGAAAGAGTGCCTGGAGCAGTTAGGGGACTGTCATGTAGGGCCTAAAGATGATGCTAACATCAGGGAAAGCAGAGCAGAGAGTCAGAAAGAAAGTAAATTCTTGATGTTGACATTCAAAGGCTAGATCAAACTATGACTATAAACCTTTCTACTGCCAGATTTCTCAGCTAAATAAACCAAATCTTTTTATTGGCTAAGCTGATAGAGTTGGTTTTTCTTTTTCTTCACCGTGTTTCTTTGTTTTCTTCAGTAATAATAGGTCTTTAGACATCTTTAAGGAGATCAGCGAACCCCTAAGGCTACTTTTCTTTTACTCCAACTTTTCTCCCCACCAGTAACCATGAAGTAGCTCTGCTTCTTACTTTATACTTTTTCTTCTTCCTCTTTCTCATTCATAAGGTCCCTAGGGAAGCATTCAAATTTGGGGCCATACTTAATCTTTGCGAAATACTGCTTTAGACCTTAAACTTTTCCATGTTTGAAGTGGCTTAAGCTCTTTTGTATTTGTTTTAATGGGGACTCATAGTATTTCTTCAATCTGTGGCTTTAAGTATTTGTTCCTGTTTGAAATTTCTCCGTCATAACTACATAATTACTTGAAATGCTGCTTTAGATCTGTCTTCTTCCTATTATTTTTATGCAACTTCACATACACATATGTTGGATGTTGTCACCATTTCCCAATAGCTCTTATACACTGTCCTGGTATGTTCCATTCTTATTTCTCATATTAGATTGGATATTTTCCTTTTAAAATTAAGGAAAGGATCTCACTGTGTTGTGATCATCCTACCTTAGTCTACTGAGTAGCTGGGATTACAAATGCATGTCATCGTTCCTGGCCTTTAGGTTGGACTGGGAATTGAACCCAGACCTCCATTTCCCAATCAGTGTAGCACAGTGGCTTAGCAGGGTATACTACTACAATTGGACCTAATCTAGATAGTCTACTGAACTATATTCCAGTTCAATAATCCTTTCTTCAGCTATGTCCAATCTTCTGTTAAAACCATCTACTGGGTTTTGAAAATTCAGTTTGTTGTATTTTTTAATCTTAATATTCCATTTGATTTCTTTTATAGATCTAAATTCTTTGTAGAAAATTTTTCATCTTGTTAATTTTCTTATACCCTATGTATTTTTTAAAAGTCTAAGTCTTACTCTGCATAATTTCCAGTAACTTTTAATCAAAGCTGAACATTTTATATAAAAAATTAAAAAAAAGATTTTTATGATGTTATCATCTTCCACAGAGACTCTTACTTCTACACCTCTGTCTGGTAGTTCAATTTGAATTCCAAATAAGAGATTTCAAACAAATATTCTTTTGTGTTTTATCTAGTCTTCTAGTTGTTCAGGAGGTTTGATCTGTTGCACAGTAGTCTAGTATTGTTATTAGGGTAAGTCAGGGATAAATCATATGTACATTAAAAAACAAGTTTACAGGAATTTTGCAATTCCAAACAAGATAAGGTTTATAATAAAAGGCAGTAGATACAAAATCTGTCATTTTGATAATTGGGTTATCATAGCAGCTTTGAGTAACATTGGATTCCAGGAATAAAAAAATTCACAATTCTATAAACCTATAATGAGGAACTTTCATCAGTCTCTGTATAATGCCCCCTCTTCTTTGTTATAGTAATTACTTGTGTGGCTAGAAAAGAGGCAAATAAAGTGGTTCACTTTGTGATTAAGAGCATTAGACATCACAGACCTAGTAATAAAGAAATAGGAAGGGACTGAGTCACTAACTTTTTCAATAAACAGTAGGTTATCACAGTAACAATAGCAACAATACCACAGCAACCCTGATGCTTTAGAGAGTGATATATTGCCTAAAAAAAAAAATCAGTGATATATATTTCATTTTGTTTTTCAGGCTTACAGCCTCACTATAAGATGATGCTCTACACATAGTCACATCTTTGGAGATCTGAGCCCAAAATGATATGATAAGCCCAAACTAGTTGCACGATATCCCCTTTCTCCAGCTGCTTGGCATATTCTTGGAGAATTTTTATCTAAATTTTTACATAAAAATTTCTTGGAAAATGCATATTATGAAAACATATTCATGGGTTTTCAAAAATTTTTGTACCACAATAAACTTGTGCTTTTTTTTTTTTTTTTTTAATGGAGAGATTTTTGCTGTAGGGTGTGTGAGCCTTGCCTGAGAGACAGAGGGACAGAAAGTGAGAAATCACCTTCCAGGAGGTATGGTCATGCCCCAATCTCTTCTCCTCCATTCTCCTCTCAGGATTTTGGGCACACATTCACATGTGCCCAGCATGATTTTTAAGCCTCCAGGTTCGGGACTAGAATGTGAGAGTCCAGTGACATAACCATTACACTGTCTGCTGGTCCCAATAAACTTGTGCTTTAACTTGATTTTCCATGTACTTTGTGAAGTCCCTTGTATGATAACAAGCCAAGGTATCATTGGTTTGGAAGCTGGAAGAGTTTTCAGAAGGAACATGGTCCTACTGACCCCTTGATTCCCTACTTCCAGCCTCTAGAAATGTGAGAGGTAAAAATTTCTTTTTTAAGCTACTGGAATTATAGTAGCTTTTTAATGACAGCCTTGAGACATGATTGCCACTTACTACTTCCTTTTAACTCTTTCAGTCTTTTGATAATTGTATAACCAATCCCCTATAGTAAATTCTTTGTTTGAAATACCTAGTAAGGTATTTGTTTTTCTACTTGGATTCAGCCCAATATATCTCTCTCTCAACTCTCTCTCTTTCTCTCCGTACCTCTTATTTTAATCTAAAGAGTAATCAGTAAGTGGTTGACGGATGTAGTAAATACAGAAACTACAACAGCAGATCAGTATCAATGCATATTTTTTCACCTGTCATATTTAAAACTTGCTAATTGCTAAATATTTTGTCCCAATTCATTTTTATAATTTCACTTAATAATTCACTTAATAATATGTCTTGGAAATTTTCCTGTAGCAGCCCAGCCATGTTATTTTACAACTACATAGTTTTATGAATTGTTTGTACTGTAATATAGTTAAAAAAATCTTTGAACGATCCTTTCATTGTTTTCATTTTTAGAAAAACATTTACAAAAAAAAAAAGGTTGCTTCACTAAACATATATATGAGTATTTATCTTGGAGATTATTTTGTTGTTGAGATAACTATTTAAAAAATACCTAGTTATGAGATTCCTAGATCTAAGAGACTGTACAACTAAAATTCTAACACATAATACCAACTTCTATGTTTGCTGCTTTCATCTAAAGGGCTAGCACTAGAAAATGCCTCGAGATAAAATAGTACTTAGGGAATTACATCTTTCATGATAGAACTGGCCCAAGAGACAATTATCACTTCTATTTTTACTTCACTGGTGAAGCATTTACTTTTCTGGGAGGAATAAGATCAAACTAAGCAGCATAGCCAACAATAGCTCTGAGAAATGGGAAAATGGGAGTGTCTCAGAGTAACAAAATAATGAAACTCACCTGTAGGCAAGTCAGACAGCAAATCCAAAGAAGCTTTGCTCAGCAGCTCAACAAATTTTGGCCATCTGTACCAAAAAAAAAAAAAAAAAGAAAGAGAAAGAGAAAAAGAAAGAAAGAAATATAATATTGGTGATCAAAAACATTGCCCTGGGTGGAGAACCAGCAGTTAACGTAATGGCTATGTTGCTGGACTCCCACATAGTCGACTGCGGTTCGCGTCCCGGACCTGGTGGCTTATAATTCACACCGGGCGCGTGTGCGTGCGTGCCCAAGATCCCGAGAGGAGAATGGAGGAGAAGGGATTGGGGCATGGCCATCCCCCCTGGGGGGTGATTTCTCACTTTCTATCTCTCTGTCTCTCTCTGTCTGTCTGGTGAGCACATGTGCCCTATAGCAAAAACCTCTCCAAAAAAAAAAAAAAATTGCCCTGGAAAAATATCCAGTGAAGCTCTAAGTTTATATAGATAGAAATGTAGAAATATTGAAAAAGTTTTTGATATGTCATTTAGGGCTCAATATAGAAAACAGGAATTATTTTAGGTATCTCTATTAGAAAGGAATTATAAGAAATTAGGTACTCATGGGACTGGCAGGTGGCATAACGTTGCTGGGCTCCCATGTAGATGACCGTAGTTCCAGTCCCGGACCCGTGGCTTAGATTCCTACCAGGTGCTTGTGTGTGCATAACCCCAATCCTGAGGGTAGAAGAGAGGAGAAAGGATTTCAGTGTGGCCATACGTCCTGGGGGTGATTTCTCACTTTCTCTTGGTCTCTCTCTCTCTGTCTCTCCTGGGAGAGCACAAGCCCTATAGTAAAAATTTCTCTCAAAAAAATTAAGTACCCACAAATTATTGTACAGCCAGTAGAATGGAGGTTGAGGTCTGCTGCTAAGCTCAGAGTTAGGTCTCAGCAGATGTGGTCTGGAATTTAGGGAACTTAAGGACACCCTGGCCAATGCCTCAGTCATTCCTACCCATGAAGATGGTGAATAGGCAGTACAAGGTACACTCTGGCCATGGGAAACACTAATGGTTTCCAGTTTCTGGAGTTGCTACTACTGTAGGAAAAGAAATCAATAATATAACTATCTCTGTGCCACTATATCCTCCATCCTTGCTTCTGCCTGTCTAATCTCATGTAATTGCATCTCACTGGTAGAACTGAAATCAATTCTAGAACTTTAATGCCAAGGGGGTTGCAGAAATGGTCAAAAGAACATCTCCCATGTATGGGGAGAATTGTAACATAGAAAAGGACACAGAGGGTCAGGTGGTGGCCCAGTGGTAAAATGCCGTGCTCTGCAAGGCAGACCCGCATGGGAAGGTTCCACATTCGTGTCTGGAGACCTCCCCAAGTACTCATATCCCTGGGACTGATGCAAGCTGAGTGCAGACTGGTGTCAAGACCCTGTTAGGAAGAATTAAATAAACTTTGCTTTTTATTTAAGAAAGAAACAAAGAAGAGGACAGATATGGGTGATGTAGTACAAGTTGCCAATATTTAGTGAAACATCCGAGCAGAAATGAAATTGAGCAGTATGTCTGTGAGTGACAATCAGAGAATCATTTGAAACTTAAAAGTACTTTATCAACGCTTTTCAGTTAAAAAAAATCAATTAGATTTGCTTTTTTAGCATCTATCTTCCAGGTATATATATAAATATGCTCTTCTCCGGGATAAGAGCAACTTGGTTTTCTTTCTGATACAATATGGTTGGAACTACAGCCAATATTCTATACTCTCTGCCCTGCCCAGTGTTGTTACCCATTGCATCTAATTAATCTCAAACTACTTATCATTTTCTCTGTCTCTCCTTCCTCCTTTCCTTTCTGTCTCCCATTCTGTCTCAGTCTCTATCTCTGTCATTAACTTCTAGTTCTGGTCCTTCCTGAAACTTTATTCCCCCCCATTTTCATGAGTTATTTCATATCTTTTCAAAATATTTCTTTTTGTTTGTGAGAGAAAGCAACATTTTCTGTTGCTAGCAACCAAACTACAAGTAATGAGAATTTTTACTTCCATTTTGCCCATTAGAAAAATGTATGCAAATAGAAGGAGCAAGTTGTAAATCTATATTCTGGGTTTCTAGAAGAGTACTAAAGTCATGTGAATTTATTCTTCTTCAATAACAAGGATTAAACATGTAAATTGTTTTATTTATGCCTCATAAAATTTTTTCCTATACATGATATCAAAAGTTAGAAAAGTTCTTTGGTTGGTAAATGTATCTTGATACTGCAGTTTCTCCTGAGGCTTCTCTTCGTGGCTGGCAGATGGTGGCCTTCTTGTTGGGCTGTGAAGCGGTCTCTTCTCTCTTTGGGTACATCCCTAGTATTGCTCTGTGTGCCCAAATTTTCTCTTCTTATATGGATATACATCAGGTTGGATTAGGGTCTACCTTAACAGTCTCATTTTAACTTAATCATCTCTTTAAAGGCACTATCTTAAAATACAGTCCTGTTCTGAAGTTCTGGGGGTTAGAGATTCAGCATGTGAATTCTGGGGAAGGGACTCAATTCAGCCCTTAATAATAGGGACAAATACGTCTGAAGGAAGTTGGAGTTTTGAATAATTTATTTAAGGCCTCTAAACCGCAGTTTACTCATTGTAAACTAGGTCTAGAAGGAAAGCGGATGCATGGGCTGTTAGGAGTATGCCACACAGCCTGTAGAACAACTAGGCCCACACCTGGGATGCATTAGGTACACATGCATTAATCTCTTACTTCCTTGAGCCAGCAGCTCATTTTGGTCATGTTAGTGAACCTTGCTGCTGGAATACTCATTTAACTGCACTGTCTTCCTATGCCCCCATGTTGTTCAGATAATCTAAACTGTATTCTTCTCACTTCCCATTTAACTATGAGATGCATTGCCCTTCCCTGATACAGCGGTAACACATTTTCAAAGCCAGGAAAAAAGACCCTCTATCCATTTATTTGTCAGATAAGAAAATTAAGTTTGGGAGAATCATTACTTACCCAAGTCTCCAAAACCAACGTGTTTTGGAACCTGTGTTTCCATGGAATTGTAGAGCTCATGCTGCCAACTCCATGGAGGGGTGGATAGGATGGTGGAAGTGTTAAAACTTGGAGGAGAAATGCCTCTAAGCCTTGGACTTCTTTGGCTCATACCTCTCCTGGGACTTAAAACCCTCCCCTTTGGTAGCTACCTTGTATCTCTTCTGAATCCTGGAGTAGAGTGCATGAGACACAAAATTCCTCAACTCCAGAGTTGTGTTCAGCACCAATCCCGAGAGTGAACTTGGAACTTGAGCAGTTTGCCCAAAGCCCCTGTGCCTAGCCACCATGCTATAAGCTTCTGCAATTCCTAGGACTTGTAGGAGAGTCAGTTTAGAGTAGTGAGGAAGAACCAGACTCTGAAAGAGTTTGCATTTGATTTAGCCTTACTGATAAATTTATATGTCAGTTAGGCATTGGTACTAGCCTATGTGTGCCTCTATGTGTCAGTTTCATCCTTTGAAAATAATTGTACCTGTCCATAGGACAGTTGTAAGAATTGAAAGAGTTAATATTTATAAAACACTTAGAACATGATTTGGAGTAAGTTCTATATAGGTGATAGCTATTAATAATAATCATCATCTTATTATTGTTATGGTTCAAACCTGGAAAAGAGAAAGCTAGATTTTATTTCTAAGGCATAGCCTATGGGCAGATCCATACCTCACCTCTTATCACTTGCTGCCTAACACTTTTTCTATTCTTTTCAAAAAGTAATTGCTGAATCAGACACCTCATGTTTTCTTTATCTCCCCAAATCCTCTGGCTGTTCCTGGGATTAGAAAAACCAGTCCTTTTCAACCTAATTGCACTTGCAATAATGGGCCAGATGTGTATGATAAGTCCTACTTGTGGCTGTGTCAATTGCTCCACTCTATTCACCAAGCTTCCATAGCAGCTTCATTATTTATTCTCTCCCCCAACACAATTTGGCGTGTGTGCATGTGTTTTAAACTGGTTTGGAGCATTTAATTTTGCCAATACAATTTTAGAGTATTAGTTTGCCTCCTGTTCTCTCCTGCCCTCCTTAATTACCATTTATTGCAAAGTCACACAGAAACATTAAATGCTAATTCTGACTTACATGTTCTTGGCCAAAAACGGGGATAATAATTTTCATCCAACACAACCTGAACTCATTTTACATAAGGGTGATTCACAGTAGAGATTTGAAATCGTAATCAAGTCTTTCTCAAAATCGCCTTACCCTGGCAGTCATTCACTAATGTCTCTGCTAATTGGTAGGCAAACAGCAAAAAACGAAATCTCAATGTTGGGAAAAAAAAAAAAAAAAGCAACAACAACTTTGTAACAGGGTTTGCAAAATTGCTCCTCTCCTCAGCTCTTGCAGCATGACAGTTTAAGAAGGGAATGGGACTCATTTTATTTGGTTAGATGGGGCTAATCCCACATCACCATAATCCCTCCTGATGTTTTATTGATTCTAAAGGACATTTAATCAGGAAGCAGCTCAGCACTAGAATCCTGCTAATTAGCAAGCAGCCACATTCCAAATGGGTTCCCAATTGAACAGCAGATTAATGGACAATATGTACTAAAATAATGATTCGTGCATTCAGCTCCTAAAATGTGTGTCTAAATTGCATCTTTAATCTCTTAAGGATATAGGTTTGCATACAAAGCCCTTAACGGAATGGATTTAATTCAACAGAAGAAGCTTTAGCCAATGACTGTTTAAGGATGAAACAGGTTTATCTCTTATAAAATGAAATTCTTTGGTGCTCATGGTTTTGATGTCCTTGAACATTCAAAGGTCAAAGACAGGTGAATAGAGAAGCTGTGCTTTTCTGATCTGAATAAAAACAGTGGGAAATGGAGAACACTTTCTGGCATAAAGTGAGCTTTGATGCTTCCCTTCCCTCCCTTTCAACTGAAGCCTTTGGGTGATTCTTGTCAGACTTTTGGTTTTCTACTCAGTTTCCAGCACACTTCTGCTTTTCCAGATTAACCATCCACCTGCCCTTGCCCCAAATCCCCTAAGACTTAGAGAAGAGAAACTTTCACCTCCAAAGCTGGTCCAGT